AGTCGAATATGAAAACCCTATGTATTCATTATTGAGTATAGTGACATGCAAAAGTGAAACAACATATACTGATTCTTAAGGAACAGCTTAGGATGCTTTTGATGATTTTTATTATCTCAAAAATGGTGTAGAAGTAGAAGCGTAGGAGAGAGATGTTCGTTGCTGCTGGCAAGAACCAAATAAAGGATCTCCGAATTCATAGTAGGAAGCTCTCTAACCCAGCCATTCCCAATTTCTTTTCGGACATGAAACCTTAAATGAATGGCAACTCAGATAATAAATAGTTCTAAGGTAACTGCATCAGCGATTGCAGACATACCAACCAAAGAAAAGCTAATTATTTGGAAAATATTTATTACGAAGATAGGAATTTTTATAACATTTTCTCAATATTAGTCTTAAAACTAGATATATGTCAGACAGTTGAATTCGTAGGTAAAGAGCAACTTGTAGTTCTGAATTTGTTTTTGTTGCATGCATAAACTAAAAATAAACAGAATTGCAGCTGTCATTAAAGTAAAGAAAAAAAGAATTGTTATAAGCGTTGAAATGGTCGTCAGAGGTATATTTCTGTATTGGTGAATTTTATTACTTTATTTTGAATTATAAAATTAGGTAGAAAATATTAATGCAAATTTCTTATAAAAATTTGCATAACTCGTTCAATACATTGTTATTAAAAAATTAGCTAATTCTTTTTTAAATTTCACCGTCTTTTATTTTATTGGCATTTACTCATTGAATTTCACAGAAATAATTAAAATATTAAATGAATAATGAATTATCGTTTGGGCATAAATATAATTGGATAATTCAAAAATAATTATCTTTTTTTGAACTAACTCTCGAAGCCCTTCTGACTCTTCCGGGAACCCTACAGCTGTGTACCACGCAACATTTTTTAGAAACCGCTGTTCCAGTAATCATAGTCTTTTTACCATTTGGAAAATATGGTCTTAATAGCCTATATTTTGGAGATCAGAAATTTTAATTTAACATTTTTCTTATTTCGCTACATAATTATAAAGTGAATTTAATGTATGCCATATGCCATTGCAACGACCACTATATAAAGCTTTCTAACTCTCCCTGGACTGAGGTGAACCACTATGGTTAGTGCATAGTAGTTGCTATAAGGTGTTCAGCGTAGCCCTAGGACTCCGTGGGACAGTCTCAAGGCTCCAAGAGTTAGTTTTCTTATTATGACAACAGTAATGATTTTTGAATTTTGCTATTATATTTATTCCCAAACAATTATTCTTTTAATATTTTGGTTATTTTTGTGAAATTATTTGGGTAAAATTTTTTTAATAACTGTATACAATATATTGAATTAATTTTACAATGGATACGCATTTATAAAAATATGCATTACTATTTCCCATCTAATTTTTCCATTGAAAATAAAGCAATTATATTCACCAATACAGAAATATATATCTCCTATAACCATTTCAGTTCTATTTTGTTTTCCCTTCAACCAAAGCTTGTGATTCTGCTTTTCTTATTCATTTTTAGCTCATGTATGTAACAAAAAATAAATTTAGAACTAGATTAGTCGTTGCTCTTCACTTTGCTCAAAAATAAGTAAATGCTGTTTTAATTTTGAATTTACGAATACTCATATTTTTTTTAAATTCGACTATGTTACAGAGCTATTTCGACAAATTTTTGCTAATTTTGTGAAAGCTTTTTTTACAATGCAAATAAAAAATGCCCTGAAATTTCCATGGCATTGTTTATCATTTTTATTGCGTATACTTTTTATTGTTACTTTTTTAACATTTGAACTAATTTTTGTATACAATTCGATTAAAGTTACATAATCAAAAGCAAGCTGTTTTATAATCCTGTATATCAAGTGCTTTTTCTTTCCCCTCCTGAATGCATTTTCAGAATCGAATGAAATATTTCTTATACACATTTATCTTTTCTCAAAATTCTGTAGTTGACAACACTTCAAAAGATAGTTTGGAATTTTGACAGAAAGTTTCGTTTAATAAATACTAAATCATGACTAACTTTTTTTTTTCATTTGCGACTCTTGAGGAATGACGTAAATGTCAACCACAGAATATTTTTTAAAGCTTTTTATTTTTTAGTTCTTAAATTAATTTTTTTTTCAGTTCGCAGAAGTGTAAATCGTTACTTTCTGAATTATTAATTTTGATGCTGGCTTCAACAGATTTTTCGGTTTTTTGTTTCAAAATTATTTAATAATTATGCCAATAATCATAGAAACTATGAGTAATAATAATAAAATAATCCTGAAACAGCTCATTGGATTCTGGATCATAGAGGTTGGGGATCTACAATCTTATGACCAATGATATGATGGTTGCAGTGGTGTAATTATTGCGCACGTGCCGCATTTGTTTCTCAGACTCATCAATCTGCGGTTGAAGGGCTTCAAGGCACTACTGAGGATTGAACCCTAGTTCTCAAGCCAGCTTATAAAAATTATTATAAATAAAAATATCATCCTGAAAACTGTGATAAATAATAATAATAATAAATAAATATAATAATAATATTAATAAATATAATAATAATAATAATAATAAATAATTATAATAATAATAGTAATAAATATAATAATAATAATAAAAATATAATATAAAAATAATAGTAATAATAACTATAAAAATAATAATAATAATAATAAATANTTATAATAATAATAAATAAATAATTAATCTAATAATAATAATAATAAATAATAAATCTAATAATAATAATAATAAATAATAAATCTAATAATAATAATAATAAATAAATAATAATTCTAATAAATTAATGAATAAATGTAGCTATAAAAAGCTTGCACCCGCTTTAATTGATGCTTGAAAAAAAAACGAGAACGAACTTGTTTAATTTAGAGAACTTCATTAATTGTGCAACCGATAGATGGTTTAAAAAAAACACAAATAAATAAGTTTTCAACGTTACTTTGTATCATTAATTTTCGGAAAAAAAACATATGGCAGTTTGATAATCTAAATTTGATAAGAAGTCAAGAGTAAATTGAAGTTTTTTTGAAAAATGATCCGCAACTAATTATTCAGTGACAAATTCTTATTATTTGTCATGGCTTGAGGCAGCTTACATAAATCTTTGTCAAAATTGAATCTCTAAGAAAAAAATAATGAAAATTCTTTTGTCTCTCAGGATAAAGAATGTTTGAAATAAAAATCCCTTCAACTAGGATTTTTTTTAAAAAAGAAAATTCTTAAGGGTGTGTATGACAGTAACATCGAGAGTGTTTTTTGTTACGAAAATCACGAAAGGCCCACTTTTTAAAGAGAAGACTTTGTTATCACGTTTTTGAATAAATAAATAAAAAGTGCATCAATGCCTACAATTTTCATATTATTATATGTTTCGAATATTTCTTTCTGTACACGATACAATGTTGAAATATCTCATAGATTGATTCACTGCATATACATCGGGCAGAAAAAAAAGACTCAGATAAAGTTAATGTAGAATTAAAGTGAAGTAATTTATTTTAAATTTGTCAGTTCATTTCTTTTGTCTATCACTGTAATTATAAAATACTTAAATCACTTAGTTTATATATGTTTTTTGGCTTTTTTTTTTAACAATTTTAAACAAAATATCTGCTATTTTAGAGTTGTCTATCAAGGTAAACCAAAACCGTTCATTTGTTCTATTTGGACTAAGTTAAATTACGAGTTAAATAAATAAGTTAACTAAGTTAACTTAAGTATAACCCTTATACGAGAATACCCACATTCACTACCAACTTCTTAAAAGTTTCAGCTACGTACTGAAGGCCGACCTTATTACTTGTGAATAACCCTGTCTGGCAAATATAGTTTTGGCAGTGTCAGTCACTGATGGTTTGTTGTAGACTGTATCCACGAGACTTCTGAATATCTTTTGCAGTAATGTGTAATCAATAAATAGTTTTCCCAACTCGGGAAAAAAGACCGATTCTTACAACTTACCATGAGTTTACCTTCACTTATGTTAGTGTCATAGGCTCTGTTATAAGTTACTTTGCCTTAATATAAGTATGACAAGATTCTTTTACATTCCTGATGCGAGATGACATCCCTCGGCACTCCGATATTTGATTGCCACGTTGATGACCTATGTAAACTTTCAATTGCTATGTGACCTTCGTTTATTTTCTTAAGAATTTCATTTCTCTGTGACTCGGGAATAATGGTTTTGTATTTCGGTATATCTTCTTGTATTGAAAGTTCATGTCAGACTGGTCAAAATTAAATAGCTTTTGATTTGACACTGTGTTTAAAGAGCCATTTTCAATTAGATTTTTTTTAACTTCAGTGGACGGTAATTCTTCTTTCTGAGCTTTTCTTTTGTCATGTAATGTCTTATATGATGCTTCTAATTATGGCATTACATTGCTTAATTCTTATTGCTTAATTGCATGGAGCTCAATTTCAGAATCGGAAAGATCTGTTTCATTTTTTTTTCTTTTTGCAGTAGTGTCACGACAGAGCATTGGTTGTTTTCACTTTCGTTCCTGATAAGTATTCCATAAAACTCATGAGGCGCATGATCTGATAAGTATTCTATAAGCGCAGCTGTAGTGCATGAGACGTATTCGAAATATTTGCTGCATAGCAAGCAAATGTCCCAAGAACATCAAAGTGAATATGGAAAAGAATGGTTTTTGATTGGTTTCATTCATAAATGATAATCTAATTAAACAGTTTTGAAACTTTTTTGCAGCCTGATTAATGGGACTAGAGTTTCGCTCTCTATTTGCACACATAGCTGTTCTGTCTCTAATAAAGTTTGAGATGCATTAGCTATTTGTCTTCTTTCATCTATGACACCTTGATCAAAAAGTTCCCGGAATTTATTCAGAAAATTAAAAATACAAGTTTATTCAACTAAATCTATATTGTCCCCTTCAAAGTAATCCCCATCTACTGCAACACACTTACGCCAGCGCTTGATCTAATCCTCGAAAAAATTTTTATATTCGGTTTTCGGTATGTCCATCAGTGCTTCCTGTGATTTTTACATTGATGAACGCCATTACCATTTGATGAGCGCCATTCACTTGCCTGATATCTGGATTGCGTGTCGTACTCATAAACCCACGTCTCGTCTCCAGTAATGATCCTTTTGATGAATGTGGGATCGGATTCAGTCTCGCATATCATGTGTTTTGAGACGTCAATACGGTCTCTTTTTTGAATGAAATTGAGGTCTTTAGGCACCAACTTTGCTGCTACACGACGGAAACACAAATCATTAAACAAAATGTCTTGAACGGATCCATAAGCAATGTTCAAGCCCTCCGCTATCTCTCTGATGATTAATTTGGGGTTATTGATCAACATTTATTTTACTTTATCAATGTTTTCGTCGGTTTTTGATGTCGATGGTCTGCCACTGCGTTCATCATCTTCGATTGACTCACGCCCACTTTTGAACCTCTCGTGTCGCTGGTAAACGACCGTTTTCCTTAGAGAATTGTTGCCGAAACACTTTTTCAACGTTCGCGAACCATTAAATCCGTTTTTTACGCAAATTGAATACAAGATCGTTGTTGCAAATTTAAATCCATTTCCAAAATTGTAAAAAATCGCCAACACACACAGAGATAGATGTAATCTTGGCTACGTAGCTTTTGCAAATGTCAAGCTATGACGCTAAGATTTAGAGGGGATCAACAGATGTACCAACTTAACAAAACAAAAAAACAGAACTCAAATCAGAACGATGGTAGCGCCACCCGGGGGTTATTCCGGGAACTTTTTGATCAAGGTGGTATAGTATTTGCCTTCCTTTCAGCTTGCAGTTACAGTGCTCCTGAACCATATGCTGATGAATTAATTCGCACTTAGGTGAATAATGAGATAGTGTTGGTGTTACACACAGAGCTTTCTTAATTTTTTCCCCAGCTCGTCACTTTGATTAGGATCCCGAAACCTTTCCCTTAGAAATATTTGCCATAGTCCTGCCTATGGTAATCTATGTTAATCTACGGTAGCTATAAAAATTCATATGGCAAGACTACATACTCCTATGGTTAGCATAGAAATTTGCATGGCATTCATATTGCAAGACACAATAAGCCTATGGTAACCATAGAAGTTCTTTTGGCATTCATATTGCAATACGGCATAAGCCTATGGTATTCATAAAATTTGTATAGTATAAGTTGAGACACCAAAACCTTATGGTTCGATTTAGCTGAAATACCATAGGCATATTGCAAAATAATAGGAAAACACTATATCCAAGCTTTATTCATATAGGAGAAAGGACATGATTGGGGAAAGAAGCAGGCTTGCTTTACTGCAACTTCGATGAAGCAGATAAATTTTGAGATAATTAAACCAAAAATAGTAGTATTTTTCAATAAAGTTCACCCACCTTATAGAATTTTACAGTTCTTTAAAATTACTTTCAATTATTTCTTGTGGATAGGCTTAACAAATTTTATAATTATATTTTCGAAGAAAAAAATTGCATACGATCCATGGAGAGCTAATTGGGCTTACAAATGTTGAATATTTAAAAGGTAGATTATCTTGCTGGTCATTAAGACTTATTAATTAAATATACAAAAAGCGTTTAAGAATATTAACTTGCAACCAACTTTTTAGCCAGAAATCTTCAGCCAAATTATTTAAATAATGACGTGTGGTATCAAGAAGTTGGCTAAATTGGCTTTACTTTTGACAGCGTCCTTTTTCAATGACGCGCATATAAAGGATTTCTAATGCACTCTACGAGCGTTAATAAAATACTACTTTTAATTGGCTTTTGATTAGGCAGGTCACGAGGAGATTTAGTTTCTACGGCTTCTCCTTATTTACTTTATTTAAAATTTATGAGTTTACTCGAAATATCAATTGAATTGCATTTGTTTTTAGTTTTGCACTCGCTAGATCTGAAGTGAAATAAAAATTTTATTATGATTTTAATCTTGTTTTCACCATTTCCTACAAATACTTCAATCCAAATTTAAATGTCACATATTTTCTAATATCGGACTTTTGCAACAATTGCTTTCTGTAGATAATCCATTTGACTTGCTTGCAATTGACAGTGCTGGTGGTTTTTACCATCATAATTCAACTGAAAAATATTTGACTTTATCTATTGATCAACCTTGCGCGATATGTATGGGCTTTCACTTCAAAATCTATATCAACAGAAATGTAAAACTTTTTTTCATCGAATGTTGCTTTCAAATCTTGCTGGAATTCGGCTTTTTTTACTATCGAACATTTTAAGTGATCACAATGCAGTTTTTACAAATTCATTTCTTAAGAAAAAATTACTAATCATTACAAAGTAGAAAAGCTTTTAACTACAATTCATAAGCCTGAAACAAATGGTAAAGTAGAGATGCATTGACAATGAATAATCACACTTTTAAATTGTGAAATTAATGAAAACTCTTTAAGAAAAATTGGCCAAAATATTGAAAGAAGTTGTTCAGGAAAATAATTTGACACCTCAATTAAGAACTTTTTTTTTGGTATAGATATTAAAAAGCATTTTTCCAAAGGAAAATACCTTAAAAGAGGCTATTTATTCTCCAATTGAGGAAGATAGAAAAACTCAGTTGAAAGGATAAACAATTCTACGAGAAGTTTAAGCTTCTAGGTTAGTGGATACAAACTTTTCACCGGGAGGACGCAGTCATGTATGATGAGCTTAAACAATATAATGCTAGAAAATTATCACCAATTTTTAGTGGCCTTCATAAAATATTTCAAAAGAAGGCCGATTAAAATTACTAAATGGATAAAAAAGATACTGTTACACTGAAAAATTTTTTTAAAAATTTTGCATATATTTAAGCTATAAAATACAGTCAAACCCCGCTATAGTGAACCTTCAAGGGACCGAAATTTCGGTTCACTATAATCGGGAGTTCACTATATCCGTTACGCAGGCAATTTTACTAATAGTTCCCAAACTCCTCCCTTTTATTACATTATATTCATATAAATAAGTGAAAAATATTATGTAGTAGCAAAAAATGTGTTATTTTTCATCACTCTTCGTCTTACGTACAAATAAAAATTAGTAATCTTTAACTGATGAGCAATCCTCAACATCAGATATGGAAACACTTCCCGACTCTCAGATAAATTTTTCTGAATTTCTGTTATTCCGCTTTTTAAACCTGTCTAACCTGCCATTCGAGCACATAAAAGTAGTTTCTATAGATGGTTTTAAGAATCGGTATATCTATTTATTTTAAAGTAGAAATTTCAAAATTATTACAAAGAGAATAGGGGGGAAATCAGTCGAAGACAGAAAAAAGTTCATTATATCCAACTTCCACACTTTTTTGGTTCACTATATCCACTAATAATAACATTATACACGTGTATAGTTGCAACGACATGCACGGGACCGAGCATTTCGTTCACTATATCCGGGAGTTCACTATAAGCCGTGTTCACTATAGCGGGGTTGGACTGTATTACATACTAGAGAAATTATGCATCGCGTAATGTCAACATATAAAGTTATTTAAAGGAAAGATTAAAAAATAGATTAAATGGACAAATAATAAGATGAGGAAAGAATAAAAATTACAAACATTGCTCCTACGAACATGTTTCCCCTTTTTTACAGATGATCCACTCCTTCACTATTTTAGAAATATAATGTGTTTACCCATATACAAAATAATATGGGAAGGTGGTTGTTGTGTGAGGTTGAACCGTATACAAATTGAATATGTTTTTTGATTAAAATGTGAAATTGAAACAGGATCTTTCGCGACAATATTACTTTGATGCGTATTTCTTCTTCCTCTTGGGGACTGCAGTTACGTACACAGTTAAAAGTCCTTAAATATATAGAAAATAAAATTCTAGATTCAAAACACGTGTGTTCGCTTTTCTTTTTACACAATTTTTCTAAAAAAGCTTTCCGAAAAATGAATTTTTATAAATATGTTAATAAATGAATTATGCATAATAATAAAACAATGGGTAATAATAATAAAGAATAATAAATGAATGTTTAAAATATTTATAATTATCAAACTTGAGAAAGTGTCCATTTAAGAATATTATTAATTAGTCTTACAGCAATGAACTTCTATAAAATTTACAGAAGAACTTTGGAACACTTATATGAGTCTTTTGAAATTAATTTCATGCTTAAAATAGTTAATCTTATAAAATTTATGACGTAGAAAATTGTTTTGCTAGAAATATACCAATCAAAAAACTACTGTGATTAATGGATACTAATGCTTGGAAATAAACTCATTAAGAAAATTCATAAGTTGCCAGTGGTCTATATGTATTGTGCCATATGTTATACAAATCGAGATTAATTCTTCTTGTGACTTTTATTAATTCCTCAAATAACTTTACGGATGACAGTTGATAACGCAAAAGAAAATATTGCAACCAATTTCCTTTCAGAAACCTTGGATAAAAAGCGGGACTGTTCAAATTTGTGTGGCCTTTTTATAATGTAATTTATTGTAAAACTGCGACACCCTAATAGTTAAATCCCTACACCATGAATGGAGAAATTTTTTCATTAAAAATTTGCATTTATGAGGCTCTCTCTCTTTAAATATATTGTAGTTCTGCAAATGATTGTAAAAAAGAAAGAATAAAAAAATGCCCTTTAATAAAGAGGAAGAAAAAGCAGATTTAGTTAGATTTAAAAATAAAAAACATTCTCCCTCTCATTTCAGAATCAAAGAAAATAAATACATTGCAATTTAACAAATAATAAAATGTACTAAAGCACTTTACTTTAGCCACCAAAAAAATAATTTTGCTATTTTATGGCTATTTATTGAAAACATTAGATAGTTTTTCCTTAAAAGCTTTTAAAATACTTTTCAAGCCAAGTAACAGGAAAACATTTCTTACAGACACTTTAAGAAAATGAATATCCTAAGCGATTTATTAGCATTAGATAAGAAATATAAAGTTTAATTTAAGTAGCAGAAAATGTTTGGAATAGACACATGCTCAGCAATTTTCATTACAAATTTGACTTAAAATACTTATAAATACTTAAAATATTTATGTAATCTAACCTATTAAAGTATTTTGAGCAGACTTGTTATAACTGTTTTTTAATTTTAAAATTTTAAAATTTAAAATTCTTTTAAGAACAAATAAATATTTGAAATTATTAATAATAAATGCCGTTAGTAAATTTAAGATTCCCAACAGGAGAAATATATATTTATTTTAATAATTTTTCATAAAAATAAAAATAATTTTTCATTCTATAAGTTTAAACTTAAATTACTTTGAAACTTTCACTTTTTAACTTTGAAATCAAAATTTTTGAGCTAGTTTTGTTTTTACTTCCAGACTGATGCAAAAATCTGTATTTTCTGCAATTAAAAATTTAAATAAAACAACAAAAATAATGAATAATCATTAAAAATTGTATTTCACGTAGAGTTTTCCTTGAACAACCGTATTTTATAATTGTGTAGAAAACTTTTTCAACAGCGAAATACTCAAAAAGTAAAATTAACAGTAACGAGTTCAAAATTTTGACTGGTTGTCCTGCCTAAATTTTTATGATTTTACTTTTCAGATTCATATTTGAGGGTTAAATATCATTTGCTCTAATTAATTAACGGGGGGATCCTAAAGGCGACTTTTGAAATTTCTTCAAGCGACATTCTGAAATCTCGCTAACCTAGGTTTCTGGAAGATATTTCGGGGAGATATATTACAACCTTATTTCAAGTTCTTTTTTTCATTTTATTAATAATATTTTAATACATTTATTATTATTTAAATTATTTGTTAATACTAAAAAATAATGTTGATCCAAGAAATAATATCGAACTTAGCGAGATTTAAAAAAGTCGCCAAAAGGTGGGCTACTCTAGGATTTTACCTTAATTAACATACTTAAAGTTATGCCTACGAAAAACTAGTATCTATTTCGTGAAGTTACGTTGAGTTGAATTCTAATACGAAACATTAGATCATGAGATTAAAAGTTATTCAGGTTGTCTACCTTTCTTGAGTGCTGAGAGCTTTATAAAGCCATCAAGAGTAAACCAAAGGAATTAAGTCAAATCGTAGGAACACTTGTTAATAGCTAAAAATGACAATTATAATAGCAAATCAAATAATTTAATTAAAACACTATGCTATGCATAATTAGCAATATTTTAACAAAAAATATGTTTACTGTATGTATGTTTCTTGGGTCCAATGACTTGATAAAATTGGAAATTTATAGCGTGTATTTAACAGCATTTGAATAACATATTATCAAACGTGGTCATGCCAAAGTCATCCAAAAATATAAATACCGTATTCCTGTTTCCGATTTTTGTACCAACTTTGACGTCACATTTTCTCAGTTTATTTCCGATACTATGAATCGTGAAAGTGCTTTTCTTTCTTCCCTTGTCCACGCATTCACAATTAAAATTTGCTTATGCAAAACTTTAGTGATTTTGACTGCTCATATTGAATATCTTTTTAAAAGTACCAAAATACAAAAATAGAACCTAAAAGCATAAAAAAAATTACGGAACATATAATTTAAAGCTACTTTGCAAAATTTCACTAAAATATGAGACAGTATTTTTTCTCACAAAAGTTTTTGTTTAGTGTTAATTTTGTTTCAAAGTTTTTAGCTTTCGACCTTACCTAAACTAATACCGAAAGGCNTAACCTCGCTAATAAAAGGTTTCTTCCTTGGCCTCCTACCCCGAAGACCACTCATATGGAGAACATTTCTAATAGTTTGTGGCGTCACTGACTTGCCAGAAGTTGACGCAAAGTCGTTGGCTAAATTTCGAGCACTTTGAGTTGGATTTCTTAGGGCCATTTTAACAACATGCCTCCTTTCCCTGTCATTTACTTTGACTGGGCCACCAGATCGGGGTTTATTTTTCGTGGATCCTGTTTCTTCCACTTTTTTAATAATGGAACGAACTGTTGAAAAGCTCAATTTTAACTTTTTTCCAATATCCCGATAACTTTTTCCTAATTCACGGAGACTTATTATCTTTTCTCGAGTGGAGCCTGGAATTTCACACTTCTTCGGACTCATACTTAATGAATAGAGAAATTCAAAATAACACTGAACGTAACTTAATACTCTAGTCTTAGTACAAGTTATAAATTGGTTTCAGTAAGTGAATATAAGGTTTTATTCTTCTTATCTGTAGTGGTAGTAATGCAATTCGAGTGTGCCAATATTTTTTTTGTAAAATAAAATGCGTTTTTTCTATGGAAATATTTTATTAACAATGACGGGAATTTTATATTTTGTGATTTAGTTTTCATTTGAAAATTGAGTGTAATATAGTTTAATTGGTAAAGTTAGAACTTTTCGTTGCGTAAATATTTGAAACTATATTGATGTGCCAATACTTTTTTTACCGACTGTATGTTTCTTGGGTCCAATGACTTGATAAAATTAGAAATTTATAGCGTGTATTTAACAGCATTTGAATAACATATGATCAATCGTGGTCATGCCAAAGTCATCCACAAATACAAATACCGTATTCATGTTTCGATTTTTGTACCAACTTTGAAGTCACATTTTCTCAGTTTATTTCCGATACTATGAATCGTGAAAGTGCTTTTCTTTCTTCCCTTGTCCACGCATTCACAATTAAAATTTGCTTATGCAAAACTTTAGTGATTTTGACTGCTCATATTGAATATCTTTTTAAAAGTACCAAAATACAAAAATAGAACCTAAAAGCATAAAAAAAATTACGGAACATATAATTTAAAGCTACTTTGCAAAATTTCACTAAAATATGAGACAGTATTTTTTCTCACAAAAGTTTTTGTTTAGTGTTAATTTTGTTTCAAAGTTTTTAGCTTTCGACCTTACCTAAACTAATACCGAAAGGCTTTTAGAGCGTCCTTATTTGGAATTCCATTGTTTAGCAACCATAATAAGTTAACAGCTCACAAATTAAAAAAAAAAGATTGTCAAGTACTAAGTTGCAAACTTAATGATTCACGTTAACTGCCTTGTATACCAATAATTTTTGTGTAAACGGTGTCTTAAGTTACACAAAAACGTATGATATATAAATTAACATGCATTTTTCCGCTACACTTGTATTTTTGACCCTGGTATAAATATCGTAATATGGGCAATCAGCAATCTAAAATATAAAATACCAATTGTTAGGCAGAAGAGCCGTTGAAAATTTAGAGCATTAATGTTAATTTCACTCTTTGAGTATTTCACTCAGTCCCTGGAGCCATTGAAAAAATCAAAAAATTTTTGTACAAAATCACAAAACTCGTTCATGAAAAGATAATTTCACACATAAAAATCGTTTGCAAATACTTACAGTTCATATAAATTATTCTTATAATCTATATAACTAAAGAAGAAAGTTTAAATGCGTGCATGACTGCATATGTACCTTGTGCAAATCTAAATTCTGAACCAATCAGCATTAAATTTGGTGTATATGTTACGGTGAAACAATGAAATCTGGAGAATGTTGACATTCACCGGTGAATGTCAACATTCACGTAGTCGCTTGGTGTATGCCCGAAATATTTGCTAAATACCCTTATTTCTGACTCTCACCGGTGAATGTCAACAATCACATAGTCGCTTTGGTGAATGTCCGAAATATTTGTTATATCCAATTTTATATTAATTTATTCGTTAATATTATTATATTTATTTGATATATTTATATTTATTCTATATTTTAATACTTACTGACGATAGATTAGAAGAAACATCAGTGTTTGGAGTATGGGGCAAATATATACCGGACAATGGCACTTGTCCATAAAAAACATCTATGTAGGGTATACCAGGCAAATGTATACCGGGCAGTGGCACTTAACGTTAAAAAAACATCAGTGTAGGGTATACTGGGCAAATGTACACCGGGCAGTGGCACTTGACCTAAAAAAACATCAGTGTAGGGTATACCGAGCAAATGTATACCTGGCAGTGGCACTTAACCTTAAAAAAACATCAGTGTAGGGTTAAAATATCGAATAAATGTAATTATAACCACGAATAAATTCATATCAAATCGAATGTAATAAATATTTCGGACATTGACCAAAGCATATCTGTGATTGTCGACATACACCGGTGAGGGTCCGAAGGTACAAGCATGTAATGAAATATTCGATCTTTCACCGACGTATTTGGTGTTTGTCGACATTCACCGGTGAAAGTCAACAACCACCGATTTCGGTCTTTCGCCGTGACATATATACGTTCAAAGACAAGATGGACCTTATTGTCCACTTTTTATCGCTACATCCAAAAGAAAGCATTTTTCATAGAATTTTATGTATATTTTTTAGTATGGGTCATTTGCTGATTGAGCTCTAATCAATCGAAAACTAGTTTTAATGCACGTTCTTACGAGCTATTTATCTCAGATAATCGCAAGTAAAATCGTCAATAATTATTTCGAAACTTATAGGAATAACGTCACAAAATTTTTATTTCAAAAGGTATATGAAACCACGCAATTTATATATTGATTTTTTCATAGCGTGTTTTTATAAACTTAATTAGTGAAAACTTTACAAGAACAAATGAAATTTTACCTATTAAGTTCTAAAAAAATAATGGCTAATTCTGAATAACACATTCAAGTTATTAGTTAATCTTTTTTTTAGTCTACATTAATCTACATTTAAGTTATTAGTTAATCCTTATTTAGAACTTCTTACTCAGATTATAGAAAATCTAATAATATAAAGCTGCACTGCATGCAATAAAAAATTGAAAAATAAATATTATATATTGTGTTACATGAATGTTTACAATAATTATAATTAAGTACTTATTTATTTCGAAGGAGAATCATTAAAAAATTTTCACTCATCGGTGTTAAAAAATTTCTATCGCAATGTTTTGTTTCGTATTTTTACAGAAAGTAACAAATGAAAAATAAATTTATTTTTAATCTAAAATATTTGTTTTGGTTTTAAAAAAATGAAATTAAATATAAAAAACTATCCGGGTTAGACTAGGACATCCTCAAAATGTCAATATAAACATGAAAAAAATATCTCTAGCATTCTTTTTTCTTGTTTTTGGTAGACTAATCCTGGTAGTTCCGAAGATAAATGTGGTCCTACATATCTATGTTATCACTTGTCAGAGAGATCTAATCCCAATTTCTATGGGTGTCAGTACTAAGTTGTTTGACGTCTTTCTTTTTCTTCTATTTCTACCTGTATTTTCTTCCTCAAGCACTCCTTTTATTTGTTCGATTTTCTATTTTTTTCCCCCCACAGTTAGGACTTGGGACCTTAGTGCATCAAAGCAACTTCGATGTCATATCAGTGGTTTGTTTCTTATTATGCCACTAACAAGGTGTTTTTCGCCAAAACAATAGTTTTAAGAAATTGTCTGTTATTTGCTGTCACATGTATTTTCTTGAGCGAATAAAAACTAATATTTCTCAAATATTTCAGAAAAAACAAAAGGTGCAGACGAAACTTTTAATACTAATGATGTTAAAATCAAATTGTTTGATGCGACTTTCTCAAAACTTGAAGACTCGATGCCAAAAGAGGCTATAAATTTAAAAAAAAAATCATAGATATTTTCACGCATTTCTATTTTTAAATTTTTATTTCTTGAGAACAATTTGACAAATTTCATTCATAATTTTTATTTTTTGAGAACAATTCGACAAATTTAATTTAAAATTGTAATTCATCATTTGAAAAAATAGTCGTAAATTAAGTTTAAAATTATGTATAAAATTGCATATCTTATCCAAACGTTTTTCAACTATTATTAAATAAAATAATAAAAACTAATAACTAAATATGGAATTTTTTTGCTCGGAGTTATTAAGGAATAATGAGTAAAAAAATAATACACGAACGCTGATAAATGAATTTTACAATTATAAGTAAAATAAGTTTCTGTTTGCTTAAAAAATCTCGTGATATAGCAAGATACTTATAAAGTAAAATTAATATTAAGAGATGTAAACTTCCAACCGCTCCCCTGCCTAAACATTCGGAACATATTTTTCAAAATATGACTACCCATATTTGGAGAATCAAAAACCTCAATCAATGGAAAAAAGCTATGGATATTGAGAGAATATATCTATTTTTTGTCTGATTTTATTTCTTAAAATATTGTTTGAAATAATAAATTAGCATACTTAGCCATCGAGCTTTTAAAATTGAGTCTTAGTAATCAGGTAATCAGATCAAAAGTTATTCAGGGTGTTAATTTTTTCTTTAGTGCAATGAAACTTCTGAAGCAAAGTCAACGGTTGTTTCTTACAATTTACTCCACTTTATAAATAGGTATTCTTCATATAAATTAGTCTCTGGATCTTAAATAGGAGATACGCGAAACTTCAATATGAACTACACGATATGGTTGTAAATTAATGTTTCATATATCAACTTAAAAGTCATTTATTAGTTCCCTAAATCATTTTTCATGCAGTTGTGTGTTCTTTAGCTTTGTAGCTAATTATCATTGCACAATTTGTATTCTCAGTTTTTCTTCAAAATTATGTATAACGTATTCGTAAGAATATGCATTGATAATCCTTGATATAGTGGTATTTTGAAACTCATTTATAGTTCGTTTACCAGGAGGTAGCACTTGGCTCCGCTTTCATCACGTGGTATCCTACGATACTATTTCTCTATTTTTCGGAGAAGGATGTGAACAAATCTGAACAAGGTTGCTATTTGGTGATCGTATGTCAAAAACATTTATTTTGCAATTTTCATGTGCATTTTTTAGCACTAAATATTTCATAAATTTAATGACATTTCTTTCTTTTGAGTGAATAGTATGACCTTTTTGAAACATTTTGCTGCAATATATTTAATTAGCTAGAGTAACAAAAGCTAAAATAGCAGATGATAAAGCGAAGAATTCACTGTTAACGTTTGGCGAGCAGTAAGGGTTGTCTCAATTTCAGGCGCGGGGACGTTTCTCCCAATACTCCCAGTCCATAAACGAACTCGTCGTCCGAGGAGGTGGAGTCAAGTGCCAACTCCCGATGAACGAACTATAGCTGTGCCCTCAGTTTTTTTCTAAGGCTTAATGTA